TTTTGTGGTGGTTTTGTGGTGGTTTTGTGGTGGTTTTGTGTCTTTGTGGGGGTTTTGTGGTGGTTTTGTGGTGGTTTTGTGTCCCTTGTCTGACACACTTTCCGAGAACAAATGAACTCCCCCAGAGAGAAGAGTCCTCCTGGCTGCCGTTGCAGGCTGCGTACCTTCGGTGGGCGAGCCCTTCTTGGCGCTGACCCCGGCCATCATGGCCATGGACGACAGTCTGCCGATGGCTCGAACAGCGTGACCCGTTTTCTGCCACAGAAGAAGAAACAGTCCAACATTAGAAATGACAGAAGCAGTGACCAGCTGATCCAGTGTTGGAACATGTGCTGCTGATGTTTACTGATTTCTGTGTTATTGTTCCTCTCTGCTGCTTTGCTGTTTACCTGCCACTTCCTCCTCAGGATGTACTTCTTCATCCTCTCCTTGGAGAGCTTCTTGGCCTTCATGGTGTTGGTGTCCTGCTTCAGCCAGGTGTGTTCGAAACACTGAGCACAGGTGAGTCGAGCCCTGACAAGTCATCAGTTACACTTTAAACTCTTTACTTGATGATCACATGGACACAGTAATTCTGACATAACTCAGTGCTGCCCTGTCAGGTGACCTTCTCATGCTGTATCTGGAAATAAAACCTGGTCCTACTTCATGTCTTTCTTCAGAAGGTTGGTGATGAAGTCTTTGCCGTTATCGGAGATCTCATCGAAGGCCTCGTCCTCAAAGTCCCAGGTGGCCGAGGTGACGTTGGACAGCGTCTCGTTATCGTTATCACCCATGAATGGAGACAAACCGCTCAGCCTGAGAACAGACAGACGTCCCAGTGAACCGGACTGAACCAGGTGAAGCCCACTGGACACACTGTAGAACAGAGGACTCTACAGAACACATGACTGCAGCTCTGTGTGATCGTTCAATGATCCATTCTGTTCTGTATCAGCTCTCAGCAGTTTGAACAGGAGAGTAGTTCCTCTGATGGACAATCAGAAACAAACACTTTATAAATACTG